CCATCAGGTAAGAACCTTGTTCTGGGCTCCCCACCACTGCCATCCGATAGACCCATCACAGGTTCAAAGCAATGAGTTTTCCCAGCTGGACTTTAAGCTCCAAAATATACTTTTTCTCTTTATAAGTTCATTATCTCAGGTGTTTCATGACAGTGATGAAAAGCTGACTAACATATACTTTCCAGCAGATAAAGTATCTGAGAAAGCAGTCCAGAGGATGGTAACACAGGTTTAGCTAAGTATTTTTGCTAACAAAACACACTCCTTCAGAGTATGTAAGAGCTGCTAAATCCTGTAACACGTGCAGTCACAGAGAAGCCACTTGCTGATGGAGTCATGACAGAGACAAAAATCTGAGCTTAGAGCAGCCAAAGCCTGCCATAGTGAGTTTTTCAGAAAGAGAGTGGGATTGATGTGTTTGATATCCCTGTTCTGCTATTTTCACACACTGAACCCAATAAAATTATTTATAATATTGCCATGTAAGAAAATTCTATGGTGATTCTTCTCAGGCTGATGGCTGAATTATGCAATAGGACTCTGATATGTACTACTACTCCACGGATCATTTCCTGCCTCTTAGCCATGGTTTGGGGCTAAGACAGAAGGCTGCTTTGCCTAAATACAACTGGTGAGTTTTATTAAGGTGTGCACATCCTCAGTGAGACGCTGTGCTGGATGCTGCCACTGAAAATCGTCTGTCACCTACCCCCTCCCCCTGCACCCTCAAGTCACCCCATGTCCCCAACCTGCAGGCAAAATAATGAAAATTTCAACAAACTTGTTTCTAAGAGGTTTCCAATACAGCTTTTCCTCACACTTGTATCACCATCATTCTTCGATATGCTGCGAAGCACAGTAGCTATGTTAGGACAAGCTGGTCAACCTAAACTATTAAAGCCAATACTTAAGCCACTGTTCATAATACTGATAAATAGAAGTAAAAGGGAATGGCTTTAGAAACGTTAGCTAGAGACGGGAGGAACTGAACTCTTTCCTGGGCCTATGAAAGAATTTAGTCCTAATCTCTCCAGTATACACTTCCCTTCCTTCTTTCTTCATTCCTAGTTTTCATTCAGGTATGATAAGGCCCAGCTTCCTCTTACTAGAACTGCTCTGCTCTAACCCTGCTGAACTCTCCTGCCTTTGTGTCTCTTCTCCTGTGTCTCCTGCTCAGCTCTGTTCACACACCTCAGCTGTTATCTTCATCACAACCTTTCTCTGTTACACAACAGGAGAGTGAGATCTAAAAGCAAGAAAATGCCATGTTGCCATCTGTTTTAAAAGATAAGTTTGAGCTTCACTACAAAGAACAAGAGTACAAGTGAGATCAGAAGAAGAAAAAATGGAGAGTGAAATAGAAAAGCCATGAATTAAGGCACTAACAGCATTTATAGGCAAGGTTGGAACAGATTTTTTAAAAATATTCTGAAAGCAGACTGAATACTATGTGTTGTTGGCTATAGTGAGTGGTAAGTAGTAGGGATTAAAAATAGCTTAAAACTTTGTAAGTGTCTAGATCTATTGATAGGTAGATATGATTCATTTAAGAGATAGGACAAACTATGGCATGGAATGAGATATGAAGGAGTCACTGTGTTCAGGTCTGGACAGGTAGAGCTACATTCAGAGATGTTGGTCAATATGCCAATGAGCAATCAGTGTCCTAAAACAACAGAAAATTCTTTGTATGTAAAAAAGTTCAGCAATAAGAACATCTCCCAATCACTTCCTTCTTTACTTATCCCTTCATTTTAATAAAATATGTTTGGAGAACACACCATATGCCTAGGGATAGGCATTTAAACAACAAAAAAGCAAACATTGTGTCAACTTTCCAGGCATTTGTCAGGTGCAATGGGTGCTGAGAAGAGGGGAGAGTGACCGGAGGACACTTCCTGGAAAGGGTGGTATTTTTGAGGGTGGTACCTACTCAGGCTCATTAACCAATGTAACACCTGTAGGGGACAATATGCTTGTCACTTGTTTTCACAGTCTGCAGACCCCCTGTGGTTCCAGGCAGCTGTAGGATACATTTCTCCCAAAATACAGTCACACACACTTAACTTCACTCTGCTCATTCACACATCTTCTGTGGATACAATGTAACTTCTTTGTAGGAAAAATTATTATAATCTTCTACCTTTTACATCTTGGTAACAAGGTATTTATGAATAACTCTTGAGATAGTACATAATACTTTGGCAGAGGTGAAATGTTAATCTTGAGTTCCAAAGTCTCTCTGGTATTACCTATCCACCTATGTGGAAAAGTGAAAATTCTGGGGAATAGTGAAGCATTTTGATAGAGTCCAGGGTACTTAAAATTCAGATTAATGTGGCAATTCTACTCCTAGGAATTTATCAAAGAGAAAAGAAAACATACCTACAAAAAGACTAGGGCAAGAATATTCACAAAGCTTTACTTATTATAGTTAAAAACTAGAGACCGCCACATTAGCTGCTGAACAGGAAAACAGATTATAGTATGTCAATACAGTTAAATATTACTTAGTGATATGAAAGGAAAAACAACAGATTCAACAACACAGATAAATCTCAAAAGCATTATTCAGAGTAAATAGAGCCAGACATGAAACACCACAGATATATCGTTCTGTGGCCATTAATCCTGATACATGGACTTCACCAGATTCAGAAACACCTAGCAGATTCGTCAAGCACACTTCCGAATGTGCGGCTTTCAGACCTGTGCTTGGTCCCACACTTCCTCCCCTCTGGCACTGTCTTCTTGCTTTGCTTCCTTGTTGTCAAGAGCTGGACAGCCTTGCTCTACCACCTTTCCCCCATAATGTTCCTGCCTAAGAATCAGTCAGACATGGACTGAATCCCCTGAAACCAGGAGCTAAACTCAACCTCTTCTCCTTTGAGCTGTGTGTTAGGCATTGTGCCTCAGTCAGTGGTGAGAGAGCCAAGCTATTCTACTGATACACAAAATTCTAGAAATAATAAAACTGAAGTTCTAGACAGGAGGTCAGCAGCTGCCCACCCAAAGATAAGCTGCAAAGGGATCCAACAGAAACATTCTCTACCATGAGTGTAGTAGAGGTCATATTAGTGTATACATTTTCAAATCTCATTGAATACCCCTAAAACTGGTAATTTAACATGATATAGGTTATTTCTTAAGAAAGCTGATTTTTATTGAAAAATAAATGAAGCTTTGTTAAGGAACAGGCTCAAGCTGTGCCAGCTGAAAGATGGTAGGGTCTCTGAAGAAGTTCTCAGCGCCAGCTCTGCCTCAGGTTTCTGGCTCTCAAAAGCACCTCAGCACAAATGCTTGGCCCTAGACTCTTCTACTCCCTGACTGTTTCAGACCCAGGATTCTAATAATGTGTGTTCAACCTGCTGTTCATCTGCTGCCTGGCCACAGGGCCAGAATCAGCTTGTTTCTCCAAACAACTGATGCTAAATCAACCTAAACACTTAATACCCAAGACTAGTAAACTGAAGATGGCAAAACTATCCTGGATCTACTTACTGGAGAAAAAACTCAGTAGAGACAATGCCTGCAATGTAGCCTCTTGGCTCTTCTGCAATTGTCAGTTTCTCAAAGGTCTAAAGGTTGTGCTCATGTTTTGGTCAACATTTGAAATCATAATTCCTTTACCACTACCTCACTCCCTATGGCCTATTGAAATTTCACTTTTCCATTATCCTGTAGCCACCAATCACAGTATAGTTGATAATGCCCAGAGACTTAGGCAGAGAGAAGAGGGTGTTGAACTCAAATGTCAATCATTACTGACACACAGGAAGACTGTGTCAAGAGTGGTGCAGAAAACCTATTTCTCCATCACTGAACATTGTTGTTCACTTTTTTATTCCATCCCATTGAATCCATCAAATAAAATACAAGTTCAGAATTTCTGAACAACTCTAGAACTTTTTAAGTTCTATTTTCAGAATTTCAAAGATCACTAATAAAGAAGATTACTAATAAAAAGCCTTTTGCTTTACCCTTAGTCAGTGAACATCTGTATTAGGCTATTTGATGTGCACTAATTCCATCCTCACAGTAACTCTGTCACTTACATGACGTCATCTCCTTTGGGAATAAGTTTTCTGAGACTCAGAAATTAAACAACTTAGTTACTTACTATGCAGCTAGAATAGAGATTGAATCTGTCTCTAAGGCTATTTTAAAAGCAAAATGTGGAAACTGTTATTAATTGGAGGCTAAAGTTTCATTTAGTATTCAGACAGTCCATGTACTAGCAGTGTGGAGCCAGGCAAGAGTCCATCCATCTAGTTTACTATCTAGTTTAGTTACTTTGTGTAGAAGAAAATAATCCCTACTTCACAGAACTTCAAAAGGATTAAACAACGTAATTCACACAGCCATCACAGTAAGCATTAGCTATCTGCATGATCTCAAATCCCAAGGTGGCTCTAGCAAGGAGAAGCACGTTTGTGTACATATCGCTGTCGTAGGCCAAAGGTTCAATTTCCACACCATGCATCTCACCTGGGCCTCCAATTAATTCTGTCCCTTGAGCCAGCCAAATAGCTCAGGGATTAAAGTGCTTGTAAGTGGGCCTAGGCGCGTGGGCTTCGATCCCTGAGCCGAGCCGGCCCCGCCCCCGGGGCGCGTTGAGATAGCTATTGAGACTGGGCGTGGTGGCGCACGCCTATAATCCCAGCTCTCGGGAGGCTTAAACAGGTGGACCACTTAGGAGTCCCATCTAGTAGTGAGACCCTGAACTCCCTGTAGACCTTTCCCTAAAATACAAAAAAAAAGCCTCTCCTTTTAGGGAGAGGAGTAGAATAAGCACCTGCCTGGTGAGTGCAGGGGCTTGAGTTCAACCCCTGGTACCGCAAAACAAACAATTCTGTCCCATTTCAGAGTAGTATAACTTTTAATGAGGAAAATATGTATAAATACTCAGGATTTAATGAGGTTATGAGGACAATCTCTTTCCTGAACTATCTCTAAAAGCCAAGCATGACGAGGACAGCCTGTCCTCCGCCTCCACTCACCTGCTCTGGGTACTTGCTCCCAGTGATCTCTGCTACAGTGTTGTAGGAATCGGCACCTGGGTAACTCTTTGCTCTCATTTTCAACTGAATGACGATTTTGTTCCCACGGAAAGCCATTCTTGATAGCATTTCTGCATCTTCCACCGTAATACAGGCTGTTGGGATCTTGGGCACACCATCCTCGTATTTCTGCATGCCTGTGTGAGGACTTTAGAAAAAACGCCAACAGGTTACTTTGAAGGTGAAAATGAACCAAAACCCCTCTTAGGCTGACAATTGACCAACCTTTGCACAAGGGAAATAGGAGATGCTGACGTAGTTTTGATGCAGACATACTTTTTATTTTTCATAAAAGTAATTTAGAAAGTTTTATTTAATAATTATCAATTGAAAATGTAATGTGAACTTTTCTTATAATTCGGATGATCTTTCTTCAGGGCTCAGATTTATCATGAACTTGGAGGAAATTAACAATTCTTTCATGTCCGAGAGATGAACACATGCACAAGGAGACAGGGGCTGTATGGGACCACCAAGGTTCAGACCAGAAGATCCACGTGCTTGACTGAAAACCAACCTGGTCATTCTCAGTCCAGCAGTGACTGGCGAGCAGTGGGCCTTCTCCCTTCTCCTCTAAACACAGAGGCCTGAATAAATAATCCTGTCTTGGTGGCAGAACACTGCACAGGAAAACTGTACAAGGACGTCTGGGGAAATATTTGTGTTACTATAAAGAAAGTGTTGAATAAACTCATATTTTATTGCCACAAGTAAAAGAAAACTACTAGAATTATGGAGGAAACTCAAGGAAGAACACTATTCCAACTGCTCAAACTTTTCCTACTAGTTTCTTAAACTGATAGAAATCCATGTTAATCTACTATAGACTCAACCTCTGTATTTGCTAATCTGTAATTTTATTGAGAAAGAAGTAGCAATGAGATAGTTTCAAAACAGGTTAGTAGTACAGTTACAATAATTAATACATTGCATATTGTTATCTTTGTAGTAGTTATTCCTAGTACAAGATTCGCACATGATATCTTGTCTAAACACTATTACTTCAAAACCTTCTCATTGAACTAGGAGAAAGTAGCTGTATATTTATGCTGTTTTGTACATACAGATATATATATATTTTTCACTACAAAATGGTCCATTTATATTCCCTTTTTGTTTACTTTTGTCAGACATATGTATTCCATTGCCATTCATATATTGTAGGTGCATGAATTCAGCTGCATAATCCAATATAGTCCAGTAGTCCATCATAGTAGTGGGTTTTCCGTAGGACTGGCAATGTCAGAAGTTGTTGACTTGAGCCTTTTATAGCTCAGCATATTAATATGGTTTTACTTTTTATACCTCGTTTTTATACTTTTCTGCTTAATGGTTAAGACCAAGATAAATCTTCTAAGTACATAATACAACCTATCGGTCTCTTCCCATCCCATCTTCTAGTCAAATAGAAGATAAAAATCTCCCTTTTGAAATTTATTTTTCTTTTCCAATTTCTGTATGTGTTTCAGGTTGTCTTGCATTTTCAGGACAGTCCTCTTTGTCTCTCTCTCCCACAGACCATAGCGTGGACTTCCGTCCCATAGAAGTGACCCCAGTTTCCACATGCACAAACCCAGCAGTGCACATAACTGCATTCTTGGTGTGACTGCACTGTGCTGATCACATTCCACAAAACCATTTCATTAGAGAAATGGTGCAGCAACATGTATAAGAACCTTGCTTCTGGAACACCAGAGTTCAAATTCAAATCTGGACTATGTCACTGATTAACACTAGACCTAGAGCAAGTTACCCACTTTTTCCCCAGGAATTTCTTCTATAAAAGGAACTAACAATAATAACACCCAACTCTTTGATTACTTTTCAGATTCAGTTAATTTATGTGAGTAAATAACTTACATTGGAAAATAGTAATAATGCTATAAATGCTAAACATTTTGTTAACTTCCTTATTACATTATCCTTAGAGAGTCTATTTTAATCTCAGGTCATGACTACCTTTTGAGTAGAACCTTTATGGACATTTCCACGTATATCCCACTACTCAATAAGAGAGGCAAATGACTTCTAAATTCAGAAGTTAGAGTCCCAAGATCTGAGACTGCATCTCTGGCCTGGGATGTATAAGTGCACTCTAACTTGTGAAAGGCTCTGAAGACTCATAACTTAGGTGAAATCCTGGTTTCAATGTTCTCCAGTTGCATAACATCCAAGCAACCTTAGATTACCTGTGTTTTTCAGTGTACTCAAAGGAGAATAATATTAGTATGAGCCTCATAATATTGCTCCAAGGAATAATAGTGATAGTATATGCAAAAGATTTAAGACAGCACTTGGCACATAATTACTTAGTAAATATTAGTTGTTATTTCTTCAGTGGTAATTTTTCCCACTGAGTTGGTAGAGTGATTAATGAATTTGAAAATTACCTTGCAACATGTAGGAAGACAATCTAAATATTTGTTATTCATATTATGTTACGTGATGTCTGGGATTCAACAAAATCTCCTTGTTCTCAGACTCTCTTACTCAGGAGACGGTCAGTATAACACTTCTTAATAGGCCCTTTTAAATACTGTTTCTAGACAAGTTTGTACAAATAAGTTACAGGTAAAAGTTTGTAAAGGGAGGAGGGTGAGCCAGGCTTGTACTCAGGGCTTGCCTGGGAAAGACATCTTTTAACTGTGGCTCTGAATTCAAAATATAAAGGCCTTTGAACTGGTTTCAGGCATTAAATATGTCTTTCAGCGGTAGAACATCCATAATTGTTTAGCAAAAGAAAGCAAAATGAAGACTCAATGGATTTATTTAGAATCCTATGTGTTCACTGTAGTGAAATCATCTTAGAGGGACCAGTCTGCATAAGCACTCCCTTCCTGTCCCTCATTTACTACCTCCATCTGCAATTCAACAGAAGCAAAGGGTAAACTACAAAGGAAGTCATAAAAATCAAAGTCAAAACATTTAAAGGTTAATACCAATATTTCATAAGCGCCCCAGAAATCACGACATCAGTAGAAAGTGAAACTGGAAATCAGTATTTCCCTTGAATACAAATGCAGAAAGTCCTCCAAAAAAATTTAACAAACTAAATCCAGCAATATTTAACAGGATTATAAGCTATAACCAAGTAGGACTTACCTTATGAATACAAATTAGCTTAATGTCAAAAAATTAATCACTATATTACCAAAATGATACCAAGTAAAAAACAAAACAAAACACATGATCACCTCAATAGATGCTTAGAAGCATGTCACAAAAATCAAATGTCCATTTATGATGAAAACATTAATCAAACAATGAAGACTTCCTCAAACTGATAAAAGTTTTCTACTAAAACTCAGAGCTAGCAATAATCTTCATGCTGAAAGACTTAAACTTTTTACTCTGATGTTAGAAATTAGGGACCAGCAAGATAGCTCAGTGGACTAAAGCACCTGCTTAGGCAAGCTTAAGGAAGCAAAGGGACCACAGTTTGATCCTGGCCACCACATGCCACATCAGCCCCACCCCCAGGGTGGGCTGAGCTGGCCAGAGTCTGGGCATAGTGGTGCATGCCTGTAATCCCAGCACTGGGGAGGCTGAAAGCAGAAGGATTACCATGAGTCTGAGCTGCATAGTGAGACTGTTCAACAACCAAACACATAAAAATAAATTTTTAAAAAGGAAATCAGACAAGGCTGGTTGCTGTCCTAATTCTTGTTCTACATTGTACTAGGGATTAAACAAGGAAAAGAAAAAAGCTGAAAAGAAAAAAATAAAACTATCTGCATTCATAGATGATTTGATCCTTTATTTAGAAAATCCTTAGGAATCTACAAAAAGGGGCTGGGGAAATAGCTCAGTAGAATAAGCTGGCAAGAGCTAGGGCCTGAGTTCAATCTCCGGTTCTGATAAAAAAAAAAAAAAAAGGAATCTACAAAACAATTGATCTAATTAATGAGTTCAGTAGAGTTTAAAGATACAAGATCAATATAGAGAAATAATTTGTACAATGGTATATTAAGCAACTTTACCTTAGTTTAAGGAATACTTGAGGCAGTAAACTTTATAAAGAGAAACAGTTATTTAGGCCAGTGTCGGGGTTCAAAATCATAGCATGTAAATTAGCCAAGGTCTGATGAGGGCTTCATGCTAAATGGTAGAAGGTGGAGTAAGTATGGGAACAATAAAATGATTACATCTTTAAGCAGGAGCAGAGAGGATGGGAGAGACCAGGCTTGTTCCTATACCAACCCTCTCCAAAGAATTACCAAAGGGTCACATAAAAATGTTTCATGCCTCAAATGAGCGAAGGCTTTCTACTGGTACCTGCACCTCTGCAGCTCCACCACCTGCCAGGTGCCCATCCTCCTAACAAAGTTCTTACCTGTGGACTCTGTGGGGACGCAAACCACATGCAAAACAGAGCAAGTGGCAGTGACCCATGTACTACAACAGCCTCCCAGCAGGAAAGAACAATCTGAAAGCTTAGCGAACAACTCCATGTATATTAGCAGCAAAATGCTACAGGTAAATTTAACAGAAGTTTCAGACCTATAAACTGGGAACTAAAAATGTTGTCAAAGTAAGTTAAATGGAAAGATGTCTGATGTTTCTGGACTGGGAGACATATTGATAAGTTGACAATATTCCCTAACTGATCTGTTGATTAATTGTAATCTCTATCAAAATTCCAGATTCTTTTTAAAAAGGAAAATGACAAGCTCATTATAAAATTCATATGGAAAAGCAAAGAATTCACAATAACCAATAGAATTTGGAAAAACTAAAAGAAAGTTGGAGAACTCCCATTTCTGAATTTCAGAATTTATAGTAACCAAGATATAGTGATACTGGTAAAAGAATAGATACTCAAATCAAAAGAACAGAATAAATAGTCAAAGAAAGCCTTTTAAAGATAGTTCATTAATTTAAATAAAAATGCCAAGATTAACCAATGAGGATAGAAGGGTGGTGGGCCACCCAGATATTCCTATGTAAAACAATGAAGTTATACCTCTACATCACGTTATGTGCAAAATTTAATTCAAAATTCAACAGACCTATATACACTAGCCAAAACTGTAAAAATCCATGATTTTGGGTATGGAAATTATTTCTGAGACATAGCACCAAATCACAAGCAACAGAAGAAAAATATATATAAACTGAAAAATCAAATTGTTAAACTTTTGTGCTCCA